GTGGCAAACTAATTTTTGGTCCCTAAGTGCCACAGTACTGAAAAATATGTGAATTTCTTCTGAGTCAAGGGTCAGTTCAGTTACTATCACACCTAGAGCTGTGGGCTGTTCTGGATGTGTAGGGAATAAGCATCAGAAAAAGCAAACCCAGAGCAGTGCTTCCCTCTGTGTAATACTGTTCAAACTCTCCAGTGCTTTAAGATTTCCGCTGCCACAGCCTTTGCATTCAACAGCCCTTTATGAATTTTTCTTCTGTGGCTAAGTCCACAGAAGAAATTTGAATTAATTAAGTCCTTTGTTTACAACAGAAATACTTCAAGTAATGCATATATATGAAAAGAATGAACATCAGTAAACCTTAGAGCTAAATACACCTCTGTAAATATGTGCATTTTAGGATAACTTTTAATATTCAACTTACGGGGTAGATGCAAAATGTCACACACACGCATATACATAGTCTAATATTTGACTGTACATACAGAATATATGTAAGTATTTGTATAGCACTGTCTGTCTACTTCAGCACACACAGGCACACAGAGGTTTTATTTCTGTGAGCACCCTTCTGTCAAATGAGAGCTAACTGAAGGCAGAGCATGGATTAAATCCTTCACTTTGATCATGATCAAATTCTAAGTAAAAAAAAAAAAAACTTAAAAAAATTATGAAGCATTAGTCATGCTGTTGAATTTGTAACTATCACAGATTTTATGTCAGGTTCATACAGACACACATGTGCATTCACCCACACACATGCCTGGCATTACTCGTATGACATCAGACCTATCACCAAGCTCCTGTTTGCCTATTAGTTTTATTTCTCCATTTGCACTGTAGTAACTGCAGGCTTCACTATCTGCAAGTGCAAAGTATCTCAGGTGGGTTTTGATCTTTAACTGAAGTTTTCCCTTCTTTATCACATCTCAGTATGCTAAAAACATTATCCCAAGCATCAATGCTAAGTGTTGCTCAAATGTCTCGATCACACATCTGAGCCATTATAATGTGTGGGTATTTTGTAAGATGATGCATCGGCTGAAGTTTGTATAGGCTGATGTATTGGCTAAATTGTCAGGATTTCTTTGTGTTGGTCCTGTTCTTTCTTCTGTGTCACTAAGCCTGCATCTAAGCACTAAGGCAGGTCTGTCTTGTAACCCACCCTACGTCTCTGGTTGCCCCATCAACATCATAAAGTGATGGGATGGGAACATTGCCATTTCTTCTCCATCTACATGATAGATTTCCTTTTACAGGGGAATGATCTGGCATGATCTTATCCAGTGTTCAGTGGGGTTTTGATAGGATGTTCCTCTGTCAGTGTCAGCTGGGACTTGTGACTGTGTCCTGCAGTATTATGGGACATATTGTGTAGAGTGAGCATGTTCACCTTCCAGCATTCTCAAACTCTGTAACAGGAGCAGAATAATAATTATTCATTGGTTAAGATGGGAAAAAATACTCCAACAGCATAAGTGTTAGGTGTCATAGAAAGGCAGGTTGTATAAGACCTCCAAGGTCTTACGTAGCGAGTTATCTCAAAGCTAAAATATTTGGTCAAACAGTGTTTTGGAGTTTCACAAAACAACTCATGTGGTCTGAGGAACAGATGTGTCAGGATGAAGAGAAAGATGCTTTAACTCAAAAAATCAAAGAAAAGTATGAAATTCTGTGAGCAGCATGGCATAACCTTGTTTGTAACCAAGTGGTTTTACTGTAGATAATTTGTCCATTGAATAAAATTTTCCTCTTCACTTTTCTGGATGTTCTTAAAGATCACAGTTACAAATATCTCCTGCCCTTAGCAGGACCATGATGTTTCCCTGTAAATTTGAGAGAAACTATTTGAGAAGTGTACAACAGCTTCTGAAGCTTGTTAGTGGTTTTGACTAATTTTTGATAAACGTGTGCCGTATTTCCCAGCTGGCTTTGGAGAGTTGTCCATATGGCTGTGTCCATAAGAGCTACAGCACGTACTGAAGAAAGGCAAAAAAGGAAGGGTCATTTTTTATCACTGTCCTCTTGTGATTTTCTCATAGCCAGGAGTGCAGCCTGACATAATTTCCTGGGGTTTATTTTTCTCTGTGAGTTATTTTCTTTAGATAATGCCTTTACACCGTAACTGAGTATGACAATTTAATACACTTAGATAAGAACTAAACCTGGGACATGGTCCCTTGTGCAAAGTCAAGTTTTTCTCAGTTGCCCCAGTGTCTGGAAAAATAAAGTTCTACATCCTACTAAATATTGCTATTATTATGTATCTGTGACATGGAGTAGTAAACACAGGAGGGAGGAACACAGTAAGGTTTTCATAAAACCCAGGAAATTAATTTCTTTGAGACTGATCTGGTAAATCTGTGGGTAGTCTTAGACATAACTGGCATTTTTATTTTTTCTGTTCTGATGGTTACTCTTCATAATTTCTTGAAATAGTTTTGTAACCTGAAAGAACCATACTCATATCCCTACCAATACATTACAATAATTCAATAACTATTAATATCAAGTAACTGAGACTTGATTTTATGTGTATATTATATTTTGAGCAGTAGGGTCAGACAGCATGATCTGTCCCTGAGGTAGGAATGGATGTGACAGTGAGCAGCCAGGATACTGCAGTGGGGCCATCATGGGTGTCAGGAGGGACAGAGAACAGGAGAGGATAATAAAAGCCTCAAGACTTCACGCACGTAGGAACAGTTACTTCTACATACTAATTTAATCACCTGACAAAACTACCCAGAATGGGTGTTGTATGCTGTCTTTAAAGCAAAAACAAGCAGTTGTGATGGTTTGCAATCAACTTACTTCACGATCAGGTCTGCCAAACTGATGGTGATGGTCTGCTACCTGCCCCCTTTAGCATCAGCTGTTAAATCTGAGTGATAAATCTCCTGAGACCTGCTACATTTTAAATACTGGCAGTTGTGTTGTAGAGACTTGCTATGTGTTCATACATCTCTTTTAGAAGAAAATTCAGATCTTAAGGTACTCTTACAATTATTGCAGTCAAAAAGGCTCTACATTAAACAAAGGAAAACAAAAAACTTCCTTTGTGATAACAGTAATTTTGTGAGGAGGAGCAGTAGTAGTAGTTTTAGTTTTACCAATGAAAGGCAAGTACTGTTCATTCTAAGAGTTCATGATATTAAGTTTTAAATGTTAGCTCTTGGTCTTCAAAAGGAATCTGAATCTCTCTGCGTGAAGAAGATGATGAGAACAGAGACCTTCCATAATTTACAGCCAGAGAGCTCTTGTTTAAGAAGAAAGTAGGTAGAGTCCACAATAGCACATTAGGAATAAAGGAAGTGGAAGATAATATAAAAATTATTATATTGCTTAATGTGATTAGGTTGTCCTTGATAAATATCCATAGTGGCCGTGCGTATGATGAATCTTTATAAAATTTGAAATCTTTACTTTTTATCAATTTATTTGGGCTGCACTTCTTCCATAATTAGTAATTTCTTGCCTGTATCTTTGAGTTCTTTTCATACAGGGGGGGGATCCTGTGTGAATGACACCAGTTTATCATCTGTGCTGTCATTTCTGTTCAAACTCATGCAGTGAGTAGATGGATGTCTCCCATATGGTGTAACAGTTTTGAATACTTACAACTGCTTGATGCAGGCAATACCAGGTTTGTTTTTTTTAGCTTTTTGCCAGGACCAGCTTCTTCCATGTAATCGTAATGATCCACTCTTAATTTCTGTGGCCTCCCCTTGGGTGTCACTTCTGTGGTCTGATGTATCTTGTAACAAGTCTGAAATCCTGGAAGCAGAGCGCACTTCCCTTTGTGCAATTCATCTCATCACTTCAACTAATATTTCTCCCCTTCTCACCAAAGTGGGTAAACGGATTCCTCCAAGGAGAAGGTGATAGCATATGAGGAGCTGTAGCTGTAGAAGCCTTCTAGGGCTAGAAGTCTTATGTAGATGTTGCTGATGGGGTATTTTAAGAATTCAGGGTCATCATGGATTTGTGTTTAGATGCTTGGCTAGTCTGATTAATTCAATAAGTAGAATAGTTAATCCAGAAAGAATTTATTTTCTTGTTTCCCTTGGTAATACTAAAGATGACAAACAGCTTGGCCCACTAGCACTGTCTCCAAAATCAGCTTTTTCTCTAGGAAAAGTTGGTCTATCAAAAAACAACCACATAATGCATTTTCCTATCCAAAGAAATGTTTTGTATGAGGGAAAACCCAAATCTGCCCTTTAAATCTCCATTAAGAACTAAATAAAAAACCAGGCTATGTTCCTAGAAGGTATGCATCACTTTTCTTGAGGGAACTTTGGAAGTGTTTCCTTTTTTTCCTGTGGTATAAATCTCACAAGAGTTTAATCATTCATGGAAGTACATTGCTTTTAAAAAAAGGTATCTCAATCATCCTCACGTAAAAAGGTACTTTATGTTAAAGACTCAATTTGAGCATGGAACAAATTGATGAAATTATAGTACAAAACCTTTAATGCATTGGAATTATTACATTTGGAAATCATTATGTATACAAGTAGTTATTACAGAAATAACCTTCTTTGTCAAGTATTCTTGGTGTGGAAGTAATCAGCATCCTATCCCATTAATTGTTTGAGAACTCTGAAATCTTTAATGAGGTTTTTTGCAGAAGAATTTCAGTCAAATGCAAATGATTCATTGAAACTCTTAATCATAAGACAAATAGTGATTCTTTAGTGAGTTTTTTTTTATTCACTGTAATAAATGTAGTGTGTTAACTATAGACATACAGTTAACTGTTTCTCAGTTACTTTCCTCACAGCATTTTTCTTTCAAGATTCATTGCTGGTCAGAAAGCGATAATGGTTGGACTAAGAAATAAAATGCTTGACAAATGTCAAGAGATCTGTGTCTGATATGGCTTCAAGCAGATTGTTTTCCCTTTGAGTGTTGTTTTAAAAATTAATTTTTATTCAGGTTGAAAAAGATACATATTTTCCAATGGGTACTGACAATCAAATATAATCCTTTTTTCACAGGTCTGATTACCACAACATCAAGAAAATTGGATCGGGAGCAGCAAGCAGAACATTTTTTAGAGGTAAGTTTAAGTGGAAAATATATGTTAAGAGCTTAGCTGATTTTTGTAGTTTAAAATAATTTCCTCCTGATCCAGGAGAGTGGTATTCTCCTTTCTCTTCATTTACAAGAGACTCACACAAAGCTGGGAATTGCCTGATTATACAAAAGAAATAAAACATTTTGCAATTTGCAGGCACAGGAAAAAATTGAACAAAAACTGAACACTTGTTTTCCACCTCTAACCTACTTCAGTTAAGTCTTTTATTGTAGCTCTTAAATTGTTTGTGACAGAAATTTAGAATATCCAGAGCAAAATATTTTTTAAAAATATCTGGAATGACCCCAATCCTCCCAAAATTTTCACTCTCAGATTAAACTGGTTTAAATTTTGCATCTTGGATCTAATGTGCAAACTGATTTGGATTAAAGAAAATTTTGAACTTTTTAACATTCACTGCATTTTCAGAATGAATGATTTTGGGTTTTTTTTAGCTTTTGCATACTGGGACTGTTAACAACAATTTTCAAGTTAAAAATTGCCTTCCAGAAAAGAGCATCTAAACCATTCCATTGGCCCTTGTGATGAATGTTTCCCTTTATAAGGAGCTCACATGTGTTGGATATGAAGTGATATACTTGCAAACTACTGGTTTTGCCACATGTGTTTTCTTTCACATTGCTGTACACCATGCTGTGGGTTTTTTTTTTCCTTTGGGTAAAAGTTCCTTGACTGTGTTCTTTTATCTATTTGTGGATTAAGGAATTCTTGTTTCCTGTTGGTACAAGTAAAAAGAACCATATTGTCCCACATAATCAATCATCCCTACCATGTATTTTAGGAAATGCTCTTCAAATCCATACAAGCTAAAAAAACATCTGGACACAACAGCTCCCAATGCAAGCACTATCAGACAGCAAAATGTAGTAAAATATATATTAGAATATTCATTAGGTTTTTTATTTGCTTGAAATCACAAATTATTTTGGTCGGTGCAGAACACAGGAGAGAAGGGTTGATTATTACTATATGCAGGTTTGGGTTGGCATTTTTTATTGTTAATTCACTGTAGAGTCTTACATGTTCCAGGTCATAAATAAACGGAGGGAAATACAAGGATTTTTCCCTTTTTAGGATTTAAGTTGTAAAATTGGTAAAGTAATCATGTATTCCAACAACTTCAAGCTTTCCGGTTTATGCTGTCAGAGAAGATCACAAATGGAATGGAAGGGGCATTGATTTTGAAATGTGTCTGTTGAGGAGAATCTTGGGTCTGTAAATCTCCTTTGCTTTGCAGGGAAGGACCAGGTAATCCTGGTGGACAGCAGGCTAGCACAAAATGAAACACAGGAAGTTCCATCTGCATATGAGGAAAAAACCTCTTTTATGTGAGGGATGACAGAGCACTAGAGCAGGTTGCACAGAGAGATTGTGGAGTGTGTCTGTCTGGAGATACTCAAAACCTGCCTGGCTGTGATCCTACACAGCTGTAGGTGAACCTACTTGAGCAGGGGTTGGACTAGATGAGCTCCACAGGTCCCTTCCAACATCACCCATTCTGTGCTTCCATAGTTCTGTAATTCTGTGATTTATGTGTCTGCCTCAGAGATCTCAGTGAAACATGCCAAATACGCATTTTCCAAAGGATTCCCAAACAGATGGGGAAGTGCTACTATTAATAGCAAAAAGAAAACAAATTACTTACAGGAATTTAGATTTAGTCATCAATATAAGTTAATCTGTTCTTTCCCCTGTATTGCGTGTTGCTTGAAAAAATAGCAATCTTCAAGAGTTTAGGGGCTGAAGATGCAGTAGAGGGAAATTTGTGTCTTACACTGCCCCAAGGCTTGTGAATGGGGAGTGGAGGGCAGGCTACGGAGAAGGGAAAGAAAGGAGCAGGCTGTCCTGCAGAAGTGCAGATATCACCACATTGTAAAGCCCACCTGGGAACAATGAGTGGAAGGGGAATTGGATTCTGGTGGAGACACAGCCCCGGTGGTCAAATTGCCCCTTTGAGCTGCTGCTGAAACCTTGCCCATCGCTGGCTCCCGGGAGGCGCGTTCCTGCCGCACATCCGCGCATAGGCTGGGATCCAGAGCCAGGCTGGTCAAGCTGTGCTTGTTCTTGTGGCAAACTGAGAAACGTTTTCTAAAATGCCTGTCTGTCTCTGTGTAATTAACCCCCTGGGGAGGCCTTAATTGCCAAGACAGCCGTGGTTTCCCAGTAGTACAGTGTTTCCCTTCCGGCTCTGTTTCATACCCTTCTTCCAGGAGTCTGTCTGGTGTAAAGGAGTGCAAACTTGGCTGCCTTTGAAAGGCTCTGATTAGTACTTGACCTAGCAACCCTTGCTCCCTTTGCCCAGTGTCTGTGTGAGCCACTGACAGACCTTTCCTGGATACAACTTTTTAATTATTTATAATAAGCCTGCCTTTGACAGAGACACTATACCCTGTAAGTACCTGCCAGTATTTACTTAGAAAATTTCATTATTAACAGTATTTCCACTTCTTTCACCAAAGCTGTTAGGAAAATGAAGTGATGTAAGATAGCAGATGTTAGTCACTGTAGCTGTGTGTAGTGCCAGGCCACCTCTTGTGATGGCTTACAGTTGTTCTTCTGGAGTTGCCTGTCCCTGTCTATACCAGAGGAAACATGAATTATCAGCAAGGACTGGATGTGTATTTTTAAAGCTTCCATGCTTAGGAAAGGTGAATCTAAGTGACTTTCCTGGTAAGTTGCATGAGAATTCTGTTGCAAAGTAAGTATTGAGGTAAGATATGCATTTCTTCTTCATTCCTCCTTTAATGGTCTTGTTTAGATGTATGGACCTGTGTCCACATGGAATTTTTTAATGGTACCTCAGGCTGCTGACACGGGACTTACACTTACCAAGGAGTATGTTCCAAAGCGAGTGCAGAAACATGTCTAGACCCTGATCCAAAAGGTGCTTGAAGAAGTCAGAAATTGACTTCTCTTTACATTTATATTTATATTCTCTTTTCACTGAGATTTTCTATTTGCTTTGGTGATATTTTTGGGTACTGCTTGTTTGTTTGTTTGTTTTGGAAGGAGGAAATAAAAAAAGAACTGTTTCTCCTAGGTTTTTCATCGATTGTGGCATTGTCATTTTTTTTTTTTAAGCTCCAAATGTGAGGGCTTAATTTTTTCTGACACATTTATAATGCCTTGCAAAGCTGCAACTTGTATTCAGTGCTTGTTATCAGGTGGAATTTTGCTGCTAAGGTTTAAATTGGATGTCGCTGGATTTTATACAGGATGGTCTCTTGCTTTAGTGGATTCTTATTAATGCAGTGGTTCTGCCTGAAACGGGAGGAAAATGACCACCTGATTACATTACTTTCTCACATGAAGCAAGACAAAAGCATTTGTTCTATTTCACAGACTTTCTCAAATATTTTGTAGCTAGGATGAAGTATTTAAGTAATAATCTGAAAGAGGAAAGGTAATCCTGAGAGTTTTGCAAGTGAATGAGAATAGTGGTATTTCCAAGAGAGGTGCAAATTATTCTCCTTCAATAATTGAATACATCATCCTCTTCTTTCCTTCTTTTACTTCCTCCTTCTTCAAGACTTGTCTTGTCTTGTAATAATTTCGATGTTAACACTTCATATTCTCTTCTCATATTATGCTAATTTACTAAAAAGAAGAAGCTAGAAGTGGAGAATGTTAGTGGAGTTTGAGCTATGGAGTAAAAACCCTCACAAAAACAGTCTGTAATTTCTTTTTCCGATGATAGTTTCTGTAGATGCCTCCTAATGCTGGCTGACAGTTTTACAAACTCTACTGATTTTGCTATGTGATTTTATTTAAACAGCTGTGGGAGTGGTGGAGGTCCCATAATAAGCATAAAAATTAAACCATTTCATGCAGGATCTGCACCCTTGCATGGTGTGAGCTTATTCTGAGATGCCCAGAACATGAATAGTTCCTGGTCTGCTTTCCAGTGTACATGGGCAACTTGGTGGGGGAGGATCGTTGAATCCAGGCTGCAGTTCATTGACTTGTGCATTCAGCCCAGAAAGTGGATCTGAGCACGTGTTCTCGCCCTGAGCACTTCCTAAACACTCTGTTGCAGAGGCTTTGTTACTCATGCTCTAACACAGAAAGCCTCTGCAAAATGCAGCCACCACTGAGCAGTTCAGCTTGTTGGGAATTGCTGTGTCAAGACCTGTGTTTAGCAAAAGAATGAGCCAGAGGAGTTAGAGGCTTCAGTGTGCAATTCTAGCAACACTCTTTGAAACTTCATGATTGAAGGGATGAATTGTCTGTCGGGAGAGGTGACCTCTCCATCCTCTTGATAGTCGTATACAATAAGTTGGTGCTTTTAAAGTACTGAGGCTGTTTAGTCTCTCCCTGATGAGCACATGTGCTGTGGGCTCTTCAGACATTTAGCCAGTTTTGAAAATTGTATCCATAGTATCTGTTTGTCCAAAACACTAAAACAGCTGTTTAAATTTACCACTGTAGATTCATTCAGAAAATATCTTTTAACATTTGTCACAGTGAAAAACCTGTCTATTCTAACTGTCTCTAAAGAATAAAAGTAGCTGTTAAATAAGCATGGTCAGAACTTTAAATCTCTTCATAAGTGACAAAGCAAGTGAAGGCAATAGGTTTAAAAATAGTGTTGCAGCAGCCTTAGCCTTTCAAGGTCCAAGCCATGTACCCTAATTGAGGAGGAGGAGGAGAAGTGGGAGCAGAGTATTGGCTTAGTGCAGTTAATTTTTAGCCCTCTTAGTGCTATCAGAATGGTAACAGTGCCTCTCAAGTGCCCTGCTTTTGTCACAAATCAGTATACACAAGCTTCATCAATCTTCCTGCTGCGAAGCTTGAGCACAGCTCTGAGAAGGATGGCAGTAACAGTGCAAGGGGTTGTAATGAAGACAAATTGCTAAATCTGATGTGAGTGTCAAAATACAGGGGCTGAATGAAACACATTGGTTTCTATTTACTGTAGGTACACTAGGAGTACAATAAACTGTGTTACATGGTATGTATTT